ATCATCATGTTTTTTTTAATCAGATCTTCAAAGCAGCTACTGTAAGAAATGGCAAACCCTTACTACTAAACAACCAATGGTGTTGTTGGAAAAGGCCATATTGTTTTTCTCTATGCCTCTTCATCCAGTGATAGGTTTGCTGGCATCATTGCTTATTATTGCATTGCTATTCACTTTGATGAAATGCTGTTCTTCTTGAATTTAGCTCCTGTTCTGCCCCCTCTTTATTTATCTGAATAAACTTCGACTCTCCCTCTTTAGCCTTCCAGTAACATCCTTAGCTTTGAGTCTTAAATTCAGATGTTAGGAAATTTTCAAACCTTCCACGCCAGGGGTTGCCCAGGTTTAGTTGCTTGGAGGATTTCCAATAAATCTCTCTGGTCACACAAAGGGCAAAGTACTTTGGGCCAGTCTCCAAATCTTGTCAGCACTAGTTCCTACAGCTTCTCTAAATAGCCTTAACCCTTCTATTCAGAGTTCCTGGAAGACAAAGGTCTCCCCCATTAGCTTGCTTACATGACCCATTGTGATCCAATGGACTCTTTTCATCTCATGCTTCTTGTGTTTCCATAATCTCCAGCTGACCCCAGCTAGCATTCATGTTTATCTGACAACAGGAATTCATATTTTAATTATTTTCTGCTGTATATAAACTGAGTGTGTCAAATACTGAAGGATATTGCAGAATAAAATGGAACGATTAACATTTGAAACAGACTGAGACTAACTCAAGACTAACTCATTTGCTGGATATAGGGGCAACAAATGAGATGCAGACTTGTAGGTATTCAGGCCCTGAGCCAGATAGACTTTAAATGTGACAACCAACATCGTGAATTGCATCTAGCAGCAGACCAGGATAGTAATGATACAGGCAGGCAGTACAGGCAGTCTTCAACTTTCCACAGTTCATTTGGTGACTGTCTGAAGTTACAATGGCAAAATGGGGCAAAATTCATTTAACAACTGTCTCATTTAGTAACAGAGATTTTGTGCTCAGTTGTGGTCATAAATCGAGAACTACCTGTATCGGAATCTACCAGGACTGCTGCAGGCTGGACCATCTGAAGCTTCTTGATAATCTTCTAGCAAGCCTCATGTATAGCAGATTGCAGAAGTCCCACCATGAGCTGACACAGTCATGAATAACCATGCAGAGATCTCCTAATTCAGGAATAGGGCTGTATTTGGCACATCACATGTAACTGTGCAAAGGCTCTCCTCAACATAACCTCCATTTACATTCAAGTAGGAGCTGTGAAAGAACCCCTTTCCCCCCTGTAAGCCAGATTTGTTCAGAGCAGGATAAGTTCATCCAGAACTATAAATAAACTAAAGTCAGACTCAGCTGGCTTTTGACTCCACAGCTATTTCATTTGCTTAGAGTTCAGTCCCACCGAGAACCTAATCCCACCATCAGTGGTGGGATTCAAATATGGGAACAACCGGTTCTCTGTGTGGATGCCACTTCCGGAAGTCCATTCTGGGCCTGGGCAACAAAAAATTAGCTAACGGTTCTACGGACGTGTTGTGAACTGGCTGAATCCTACCACTGGGCACCATGTCAGAAATTCCAGTACATCCTCTACCTGGTTAGGGACAGAGACATATAACTGGGTATCATTTTCACATTGATGGCACATCATTCTGAATCAATGAATGACCTCACCCAATCTACTGTAGATGTTAAACAATGTAGGAAACAGGCTTTTCTGGTTCAGATTACTTCTTAACAGCAGATGTGGAGATTTGATGAACATACAGCACAATTTTCCAGAAATCTTGTGGAATTATTTCTCAATAGTCGTTAAAATTAATTTGGAGATCAGAATAACAAACCTTTTATTTCTTATGTATACGTTTTTCTGTCATGTTCTCATTATACCCTAAATAATAATAATTTCTTCTTAGTAGAATGTAGTAATCAGTGCTCAGTCATTGCAGGGTGCAAATATGGCTGACCGCCTTCGCAGCTTTTATTCTTTTATACAGTTTTCCAAGCAGCAAAAGTTTAACATGGCAATAGCGTAGCAATAGCATTTTATTGGTTAAACTCCTTACCAATCCTTAAGAAGATATCAGCTAGGAGGCCCAAACAGGGAGCAGTTTGCTGCTACATCCTGTTGGTGTAACCTAGCTGATATCAGGCAGGTGAGGTCATTGTACCAGCCTGGAGTAGTTTCCCACATTGCCATGGTGATGTGAAGGGATGAGATCATGTAGAGAGAAGAGGCATGCAGGCTTTGGAGGGGGCAGTTTGCTGCTCCCGACCTCTACCTGGCCCCTATCTCTACAGTAGAACAATCTTAACATTGTTAAGATAATTTGGTACTACTAGTGTTATTTGAATATATTTGAAATTGAATCCTCCGTCTTCTGAATGTAAAAATTGAATACTATTTTTCAATCAGAAACTACCACCTTGTAGCTATTTTTAAGGAATTATTTTAAAACTGTACATTTTTTTAATGTTCGGATCCAAATTAATATTTTTTCCATGAAACATCCATGGAATATCCTAACTGAAGTATTTTAATCCCTCTGTGAATTGTACGATATAACTAAGTTTGGAGTTTCTTCCCAGGATAAATGAGCCATGTTATTTTAACCCTTTTCTCATAAAATAGAGTATCTATTACTGTAAGAATTTATTTTACATTCAACTCTCCTTGAACAGAGTACCCCAGGACAGGGCGACCTAGATTGTGTTTATTTGGCAACATCTTTTAAAAATGACAAGCTTAATAATTTAATGTTAGTAATTTAGTTAAATATCCAAAAGTCACGACAAGCTTGATCTTTAATCCTTAAGAAAATGTAAGGAATTTTCAAAAAACCATATTGTAAATACCTCATGTTATAACAATTTAGAGATGACGTATCTTTAGTCCTATGACTTTTAGGCTGTTATAGATAACTGCTTAATGGGATACCATGGAAATGTATACATTAACTATCTTAAATATGTCATCAGTGCCCAAAGATAGCCAAATTTGGTTTGGAGATTCTATTTCTGACTTGCATGATTCTAAAAGTATCTTCCTCTCTAGTTGATCATATTATAGGGCTAGCAGATTCAAATTGATGTAAAGATTAGTAATTATAACTAAAGCTGTTCAAATTTTGGGAACTAGCTGCTCTGGAATATATGACTGTACTTAGGCAACACCTCTTTTTGAACCATTAAACCAATCATATCATTTTCCACATTCACAAAATGTTCCTAACTGCCTCTGTGCACCTATGTATAACATTTATTGAATCTTCCATGCCAGCTTTTCTAATCTTAGTATATAATGTTGGAAAATAATTTTTCTAGAATTCATGTTCATTAAATCAGGATGGAGTCTAACTGATTTGAACCTGGTCAACTGAGGTTCTGCTTCATCCCCATAGTATCATCCTGTCCAGTTTGATCTGGCAGAGTTGGCACATTTTGGGTTTCTTTAAATAAATGATGCTATCTATTGGTTCCCTGGAAGCATATCTTCTCTGTAGTAGTGAGTGGCCCCTGATACAATCCTGAAATTGTACCAGAGATCCTGATAGCCCCCATCCTGCTGCTGTTTTGAAGGGCCTTGAAGGCTTGGCTCTCCTCCCAGGCCTTTAATGAAGGAGAATAAAACCTCCTTTGGACTGTGTGGGTGTGTTTATTTGTTTCATACCAGTCCAGTTTCTGTCATATTGCTATATTTTATTTGTTATATATATTTCCTCTCCTCCTCTGCCTCCTCTTCCGTTCTTGTGAGCCATCACAGTAAATACAAGAAATACACTTCAATAGTGTTGCATGTAGTTCACCGTTCAGCTCACAAATACGTTGCCAACACCAGTATGTAAGTAGGCAGTTGTTGAGAATGGTGTTAAATGGTGCTTTTTATTTATTTATTTTTTAGACTTTTAAATGATATAGTAGCTAATGGGTGATCAGATTTTAGGGAAAATTTTTAAAATCCCTTCATTTCACAATTGTAATCATCTCCTACTTACTCATCCTAAGTAAGTTAATACCCTGCTGAAGCCTCCATGATTGGATTTAGGCAAGAGTTGGTTTCCACATAGACTAGTCTCTAGATTAGGGAATTTAGCTTGCATATAACAGCATGATCATCCTTTGGGTAAATTGGGCTTTTGTTATGCTGGTGGGAATCATTTCAAAATATGTCTGAACTGATTGATACTGTGCTTATTGTTGGTATCGCTACAACTAAAGCTAGTAGCTTAGTCTATTCCTTCTTTAGCTTATTAAATACATTGCATGAAAGCTTTAATTGATCAAAGCCATGAGTGGCCAAAGGCTCATTTGGTGATTTCCATGGCATACAGAAGATTGTCCTTGAAATATAGAAAGACTAAATGAAAAAGAACAAGAATTAAGGATGAAATGAAAGAAATTTTTAAAAAAATGCTCTGGGTCTGTGAAACAAAAGAGGGAAGGCTATAATCAATCCGAATGAAACTGATCTTATTTGTTACTATGACTTCTGCATCAGTCTAAATATCTGATAATAACAATCTAAGTGGCTGATCTTTAATTTTATAGAGTGGAATTGATTGATATCTGTGGGTATAACACAAAGCATGAATTGGTGCCATCTATTTTTCAAAATATAGTTTTGAAAGGCTGTAAGTAAAAGGCTATATGTAAAAAGAAATACAAAATTTATAGGAGTGTAGAAGATAAATTACAGATAGTAAATATGGGTGGTTAAACAGAGGTGAGGACTGGTTTGTTCCAAAGTATACTGTAAAATATTTAATACACTTTCTCTAAACAAAACTTAAGTGTCATTGAATTATAAGGTAAATGTGATTGATTAATATAGCACAAATCACTAACAAAACTATAAACAATAAGCAATATATTAAATTAATACTGAAAGTTGTACTTCAAATTAATTGTAGGTTGGTAGGTAGGTAGGTAGGTAAGAAGGAAGGAAGGAAGGAAGGAAGGAATCATATTATAAAAATAATTTGAAGTTTGAATTACTTCTTTACAGAGGACTCTTCATTACTTCCCATGATCGAGGACATATTGAAACATTGTTTAAAGCATGGCCTGAAACTACCATAAAGGTAGGTGTCTCTTAGATGCATGTATGTGCATGCTTAGAATCATGTCTATAGATTATTGGGGTAAAAAATAGTGTTGGTTTTTGTTTTGATATTGGAATGCCCCCTGAAAATTCCATTAATCTAGTACCCCCCTGGGCATGTCTCAGAGAAAGCAAGCTGGCAATTTTTCTAACATGTTAGGGTTTTTTAAAATGTAGAGAATATTCAAACATGGAACCCTTTGATCGTAATTTTAAATATTAAAACTAATAAAAGCACCTTTATTCAGTTTGGATATAGTAAAATGCCTTGAGGTTTATTTAAAATAGTTTTAGCTTGCTTTTTTTCTCCAAAAGCACTACAAAGAATAAGTTTAAAAGTTGAAGTTAAAATTGTTATGCAAAAAATGCTTTTGGGGATTTTTAAAAAAAATCTAACATACTGTATATGAAGGAATAAAAATATTCATGTGAGTTATTCTATTTGTATAGAACACACATTTTGATGTCATACTTTATAGTAGCACATATTGGAAAGTGTGGGATATTAGAGTGTTCAGTTAAATTTGTTACATAAAACTTACCTTCATAACTCTTAAAATCCTGCCAGTATGGCCTACTTAGCTTTTTCTGTAAATACGTTTGCTAGAGCCACTAATGTGACCAGCATTGTTTATTAATTTTATATTTCTAAGAGAATGCATTTTTTTCCTTTTGATTTTTATGAAAATAGCAGGCTAATATGATTAAATCCACATTTTGTGTGAGAACAGCATTGTCATCTTATTAAAGATTTCCCTTTGATTCAGTGAGCTTTGAATGGGAGCACTGAAATTATTTGGATACTTGGTATGCACCATCTCTACAGTGGAATGTATAATCTTCTCTAGATCTTGGCTGCCCTTTCAGGCATATGTGCTATCTATAAAGGCATGCAGGGCTGGTAGAGCAGGTGGTTTGCCAATTGCTGCTGCACCATTGCCAGATCACTTCCTATTATGTCAGACAATAACTGATGGATCTTACCCCTCTCACCAGCTTTCAGATATTTATTTTTGGAGCCAGAACAGAAATATGTAATCATTGTGGAATGTAGCACTGAATACCTGTTTCTTAAGCAACAAAGGTTGTATTCTCAAAGGATTAGCACAGGAAAAATAGAAACAGATTATTTTTGTTTATATACATAAATGTTGAAACCGTGGTGAAAAATACCTGGCGCGGAAGCTCCGGGTTCCTGAACTTCTTTTTCTGAGAACTTTGGAAATGCTTTAAAAAAAAAATTCTGGTTGATAGCAGCTGATTTGGCAGGATGATTCATGAACATGACTTGTGTGTGATTTGAGCAATTTTCTTATGTGCACTATTCCACACATATTTTTAAAGCAGCAGTGGGGAAAATCTAGATTGAATGGTATTCCTAGGGTCTTCTTATCTGCACATCATTTGACTATGTATGTCTTTAGCATTTCCTCCATCATATTGCTTTCTTGCTTGTTTATTTATTTGATTATATTCTGCTTTACTATTCAGGTGGCTGATATTCAGTAAAATTTGAAATGCAAACAATTAAAAAAAATAAATCCAATGTTAATTGTAATTAACTTTAAAAACCTGGCAAAAGGCATGTGCCTTGACAGATCTTCTAAAATGATGTTTGCGGTTTGAGGCAATTCCACAGCCCAGGAATAATGCAGGAGAAGACCTTCTTCCATCTGTGATATAGATGAGTTGTAAATTGCAGGGTCTCTTCAGAAGGGCCACTCTTGCAGATTAATATACCCATGCTATTGGTATGGGCCTTCCCTTAGACAATGAGGATCTAAGCCACTCAGGATTTCAGAGGTCTATACCAATACATTAAATTGTGCTTGAAATCTGACATACTAACACCAAGATCTTTGTACTTTGTATTTACTAGTAGCCTAATGGCAATATGTTTGCCTGGAATGGTATAGACAGGGGTAGGCAACCTTGGCTCTTTTATGACTCGTGGACTTCAACTGAGCATGGCTGGCTCAGGAATTCTGGGAGTTGAAGTCCACAAGTCATAAAAGAGCCAAGGTTGCCTACCCCTGGTATAGGGTTTCCTACCTGAGCAGGGGGTTGGACTGGATGACCTCCAAGGTCCCTTCCAACATCATCATCATCATCATTATTATTATTGTTATTGTGTTGTTATTGTTATTATATTTTAAACCAGTTGCAATTACCAGTTATTTCTCAATGTATTTTATTGTGCTTAGCTGATCAGCCAAATATAAATAAACACAAGAATATTAAAGGATCGATGCAACCTCAACAATGATAAACATGGCAATAAAAAAGAACCAGCCCTAAAAATAATGCGATTACTAGAAAAGCTCCAAAAATTTTAACAATGTTAATTGAATATTTTCTTCTTTTCCAAGACCAATTGAATATTTTCTTCTTTTCCAGTGTTAATTGAATATTTTCTTCTTTTCCATTGACTACAATACGTTGCTGTGATGAAGGTGTAGATCAGAATAAGATGTAGTGCAATTCTTTTACAAAATTCTTTTAGCCAGCTCATTCTCCCTCTCGATCTGTAATTCTTGATACCATGATAAATTCCAAATTCTGTAGATATGGCAAAAACAACATAGATATCTTTAATGTATATTGTTAATGTCTTTGTAGAGTCTTGTTAACAAACCTGTGTTTTTTCCCTAGTACTATAGTCTCATGTACACTGCTTTGTAATTATCAATTGCACTATCATCTTTTTCTTTCTTTTTGCATTGTTCTCAGTCCAAATTTCCAGGAAATCCTGCTGGTTGGGAGGCTATACCAAAGAGAGCCTTTGCCCCAGTTGTTTTTCTTTTTTACCCACTGCTTCAACTGAGCAGTAATCCTACTGGGGTTTTCTCACCCTCCATCCATCCTTATTGCAACTCTACCTGGATTGCTTTCTCAAGGTAGAAAGAACCAAACAATTACTAAACAAAAGGACCAAGAAGGCTTTACTAGGTAAAAGAAAAGGTCTTCAAAATTCAACCTTTGGGACATTTCTGAAAACAGGAGTGCCTGTGCAGGATTCCTTTTTTTTGTAAATATGAAAAATAATGGGGGATGATCTATGGATAGATGCCAGTTTGAGGAGATGAAATTGTTAATATAAAATTGTTAAGGGGGACTTATATGCATGCTGCTGGGACAAATGTGACAGTTGGGCTGATAAAGACTCCCTACACCTAAATGGTTGATTAATAGCTTCTTGTCAGAAATTAAATCCTTAAGCTGGAAAATAAGAACTGGAAATAGCACAGCATCATTACTCAGAGCTGGAAATGTACATCACAAAACATGAATCATTACTCAGAGGAGTTAAAGCAATGTGTTAAACAGTTACATTTTTTAGGGCAAATGTTCATGGGCTATTCGTGCTCAATCACATAGATTGTTTTAGTAACAGGACTACTAAGTTTTTTCCTCTTTGAATCACAGCAAGATGTTGCAGTTTTTAAACAACAAATTCATTAGAGCATCTATTAAAAAGAAATAATTAGCCAGAACTCTCCAATGAATTGGGCAATAGAAACTGCAGATGGCAGTTGTTGTCTTAAAACACACATTGTACCAGAGAGTTACATTTTTACTTGCTTTATCTAAAACATTTAAGGAATAAAATTATATCCACTGGTATCTTTTCTTTCATCAAAAATATATTTTATATATTGACACATTTAAAAAGAACATGATTTTTGCCCATTTCTTTCACTGTCTTGTATTCTCTGCAAAATCTGCTCTGGGAGTATGGGCAAGTATCTGGAATAGCAGGAGGAAAAGAGAAATTGATAAAAAAAAAGCCTTGTTCCCTTTTATTATTAGTAGGATTAGACCCACTATCTATTCTGGAAATAAAAGGCATCATTAAACAGAATGTAGTAGGTGCACTTCATTTGCCATGTGTTGTTTCTCATGTAGTGATTGAATCAGCCCATATAATTGATTGACCAAAGATTTATTTACTTAAATAATGGCCTTAAAGAAAATGCAGTATTTCATTCATTTGTTTATTCGTTCTTTCGCTCATTCATTCATTCATTCATTCATTCATGGTAGTTGTTCAGAAAATAATAATATCATGAAAGAACTTAAAACTGATCTTAACAAAGAATTCCAGATACCTTTGCAGTTTTATAATGCTTACCATACTTTTCCACAGGCTATTGTGGTGACTGATGGAGAACGTATTCTTGGCCTTGGAGACCTAGGTTGTTATGGAATGGGCATCCCGGTGGGTAAACTAGCACTTTACACAGCATGCGGAGGAGTAAAGCCCCAGGAGTGTCTGCCCGTTATGCTTGATGTGGGAACTGACAATGAGGTAACTGTTTTTTTCATGCTGAGGTCAGTATTTGACATATTTCAAGAGAGAAATAGTCAAAACTATGCAGTAATATTTGCCTATTCAGAAAAAAAGGTACAGTGTGTTTAACATTTTCCCAGAAAAAAATCTTTTCTAGCAGTAACATAGAGATGTAATTTGTTAATTCCTAGTATTTATCCCAGTTTCATTCCAGCCTGTAAACACTGAGGCTTTTGCTACAGCAAGTACCATACTATCCTGAGTAGTGCAGATGGGATGAAACTGAACTGAAAAGAAGATACATCAGTGTAACTCTCAGCAAGGTAGTGACTCCTAGATGAAGTATTAGGACATAATGATAGCTGACCTATGCTTTATTCCTTGTACGATTTTCTTACAATAATGTAATGTTTGTTACTTTAATAAATAGGAACTGGATTCTGTTTATTCTGGCATGGAATAAGAGACCATGTTCACATTTTATGCACATGCTGGATATCAGCATTGCAGTCCTTTCTCTAGTTCTCTTATTGTAGAATTGAGCCCTATAAGGAAAGAATGTTTGGTAGTCACTACTTGTATTATATTATAACCTATATAAATAAAAATGTAAATGTTCGTTTGTTCAAAATCTTAAATCTCCGAAAGTTCTTCACCGATTGTTTTGAAATTTTGACACAACGTTGCATTCGAATACGCGCGTGTTTTTATATACCTACTATTATATAGATGTCACACCTGTGACACAAACGTGTGCTTTCTCTTTTCTTTCTTTTCCATTTAACCAGACTGAGCCACAGCAACGCGTGGCTGGGTATAGCTAGTATAATATAATTATATTCATCCCAAGAAGACATACAGTCTTAGATTCTAAAACTGACTTTCCTTTTTACACTAAGATAGGCAGGCTGCAGTCTCATGAAATATTTGGTAGACAGCAAGCCATCCTGTTTACAATAAAAACAGACGTATTAACACTGAGGTTCTATTTGATCACAAGTATTCTGCATTGTTTTAGGATTATTTGAAATGAGCTTCAATATTAACTGCATAAGGAGAATGTGGTAGAAAAGGAAGATGATGAAATATTGGCAAAAACTACAATGAAGAAATTAAAAATATCAGATGATTTACTAAATAGATTTAATCATTTACTGTCATTGTTCCAGAAAACCTGAAGGTATATAAAGTTACTGCACAGTCTATTCCCTAGATTTAAAAACAGACAAGCTTGGAATCAGTTTGAAAAACAGAACTTATTAGTATATACAGCCTATTACCCGTGCTGTCAATTAAACTTTAAAAAGATCCTTAGAAACTAAATCTGTTAGGTGAAATTGGGAATTACTTGAAGGAAACTTTTTGTTGTTGTTAAATGCTGTTCTTAATGGAAAAAATGGAATATTGGTTTAAACATCAACCAGAACTTCCAGCACCTGACAGATCTGTTTAGTTTAGTTCTTAGTCAAAGGGCTATTTGCTCTGAGGCTGTGTCTGTACAGCATTTTCACACAGTTCAGAACAACCTGTTGTTCATTAGGAGACAACAAAAAAATTCTTGCAGAAAGATTTCCCTGCCCTGATGGTTGGAAATACTTTGAAATGCTTGCTTTCACTGGTAGAATATGTAAGAAGCATAATTTATTTTCCTCCAAGTTCCGTCTCATTTTTATTTATAAATTATGAGCCAAGTTGGAAAAATGGCAATCTACCTCCCCTCATGTTTTCCTTTTTTCCTTCAAGACTTCAAATATTGAAAGCCAGCTCTAGTTCCTGAAATGCGAGTTTGGTCTAAAGGGCTAAGATTTCCATTTAAATGCCTCTTTTAAAAACTTGGATCCCAGAGACAATTCTGAATCTATTCTTCTTACATCCCAAGGAGACTGGAAGGAAAAAAAAAGGAAAATTAGAGAACAAAACCATAAGGACCAGGTAGATAAACCACTTGTGGAAACCACTTGTGGAAAAATAAACCACTTGTGGAAAAGGAATAAGCCTCTCAGGTTAAACTGGAGAGGGTTTCTTGATAAAGGACAAATATTGCAAATACATACTGTACAGTTTGGCATCTAATCGTTTTCCTTGAGAAAAAAAATTGAATCTCAGAAGAAATCAAATGGGAGGATTTGGTTATAACAAACTATTTTATTCCTAAGGGATAATAATAAATAGAGTACTACCAAGTTAAAAATGCCTTGCTTTAGATAATTGTGTTATAGTATCCTTCCCAAACTGATACTCCTATTCCCTATATATTGGGATAAAAATACCTGGAAGTTGTCATACCGAGTAGTAATTCTGAGGATACTGTAATAATCCCAATACATTCAGCATTAGATTGAAAGAAGCTGCCTATCAATCTATTTGGTTTTCTCTCTCTTTTTTTTTTGAAAACGAGTAAGGAATACTGTATATATTTTCACATTCAAATAATTCAATCATATGCCCATTTATTTACACAACAAATTTAATTCAAAAAGTATGTGTTCAGAAATATATATAATGTTGAATTATGTTAGCCTCTGTCTTCGAACTCTTGAAAATGTAGCTAACCATGTATTAGAACTGAAAATACAGAATTGTGTTACAGTATGGCCATAACATTCCATCTCTGCTGGAGTGAAATAGTGTTATTGGATTACCAACAAATAATCAGTTGGAATGCCAAGTAGGAGGTTTACTAAAAGTTTCAGTTTGATGAGGCAACTATCTGGACTGAACCTATGCATTTCAGCTAGAATGGAGTTGAGAAATTATAGACAAGCCCCATTGTAATAGACCATGTTTCTTGGTTCTGGATGATTATGGCAGTTTTGATTTGGGAGCCTAGATCCACCAAGGAGACAGCATATTCACATCAAAAAGGCTTACAGGTAGTCCTTGAGTTACAGCCATTGATTTAGTGACCGTTCAAAGTTACAGTGGCATTGAAAAAGTGACTTATGAACTTTTTCACACTTAACAACCATTGCAGCATCCCCATGGTCACATGATCAAAATTCGGACACTTGGCAATTGGCTCATATTTATGATGGTTGCAGTGTCCCAGGGTCGTGTGATCCCATTTTGTGACCTTCTGACAAGCAAAGTCAATGGGTAAGTAAGCCAGATTCAGTTTACAGCTATGTTACTAAGTTAACAACTACACTGATTCACTTAACAACTGTGGCAAGAAAGATTATAAAATGGGACAAAACGTACTTAACTGTCTCACACAACAACAGAAATTTTGGGCTATATTGTGGTTTTAAATCAAGGATTACCTGTATTAGCCTCCTATTCTGCCCTGATGCCTCCTTATGACAACACTTGGCATCCTTATGAGTATTTGAGTTCTGCTGATATAG